TCCCAATCCCATCAACTTGTAAATCAACCAAGCAAGGACCTTTGGGGATAAAAGGGGTCCCAAAGCCTGCCCACTCTGAGTCCTCTGAGCTGAGTCATCTGAGTCATCTTTGGATCCAGACTTGGTAGCTTATCCCTCTAGCTAGTGCCTGGCAGCCTAGTTGGGAAGGACATGGGCAAGTGCGGATGAGTGCATGTGTGTGCATGTGTGTGAGAAAGAGCAAATGTATCTTGCAACCAGTAGAGTTTTGCTGTTACTTTAAATTCACTGGGTCTCCATGTATTACAAAGAACCTCTTGTGCCTGTTAGGTTGGAAGTGATTTGTGTGTGTCCCTAATTATTTCCAGGCTGTTGACCAGGGCTGTGTGTCTTGTCTGCTGTAGCCGCACCTATCAGGAAAAACCAGGTAGAAAACAAGGGGGGCTTGCAAGATCCGCGTGCTTCAACAGGCTGTGAGTGTGTGAGTGAGTGACCATAAGCCGAACCTGGGAGCAGTGTGTGTAACACAGCCCAGACTAAAATCAACTGTAACAATAAAAAGACAACAGGAGCTCCACAGACACACTGATCCCCAGCCTGAGAATAGAGCCAGATCTTAAGGACCTACTGGAACCCCAGGAAAATGGGTGCCATACGTATCTCTGGAGAGACGCTGCTCCAGAGGGAAGGGCAGTGACAGAGAAGGCACACTTGATCCCAAAAGTTAATAGTTAATGGAGGTAACCTAGAGCACATCCACTCTGTCTGAATATACCAGGCAGACAGAAACTATTGGAGATAGGTGGTCCCTCAGATAACAAGGCGCTATGCCATGGCCAGACAATGCAACCTTAAATCAAGTGGTGGTGCCGCCTACCTTGTTTGATGGTGCATTCCCTCTCAAGAAGTCATTAGTAGACCTAGTGCAGAGTATAGAATATGATCTTGACAGAAATATATAAGAACTGTTACCTAGGCAAAGGGGGTTGGAAACATTTTTTAAGCCCTGACACAAGATAACATTCGGAAGCAGCTCAGGCAGAGACCACCTGCTTCACTAGCACATTGGGGGGTACAGCACAATCAGACTTGTGAGACTGTTATTGTAGCTAATCTCAATAAAAGTAGCTCTAGTCTTCCTGTGGAATTGACTTCCTGGTGTGCTGTAACTAGTGTGACTGATGCCTAGCAATTCTAATTAACTATTGACTGGTCTCCAACCTCCACTATGAATACAAAAGTCAACTGAATCCAGACAGTCCATCTTTGGCTTTTGCCCAATTACATCTTGTCTGCCAGTGGCCTTTCCTGGATCAGGAGACTTTACTCAGACTCATGACTTTGTCACCTTGTGGCTGGATTACTGCAATATGCTCTACATGGGGCTGCCCCTGAAAATCACCTAAAAGCTTCACCTGGTACAACCTGCAGCAGCTTGAGTAGTTACAAGGGTATCAAAGTCTTCCCATGTAACACCACTGCAGCAGGAGCTGCACTGGCCACCATTTAACTACCGCATGAGTTACTGTGAGGTCTGTAGAACTTCCAGATTTTTATGGCCATACAGAGATGGATGATATGTACAAGCTCCAAGAGTTTTTCCAATTTTGAAAATCATATTTTACTGTTAAGAGTTCCTTGTTTTGTATTTGCTATTTTATTTATTTTTGGGTTTATATTCTGCCTTTTTTGCTAGAAGCTCAAGGTAGTATACATATATAGTATACATAGCATTCCCTTTGCTGTCTTAAATAAAAGACACAAGGTAAAATATTGTATCCCAAGTCATCAGCAGTTTGAGAAATAGCTCCTAGAGCAATGTCAGGTGCATCCATCTGAACAACAGAGGAATGTCTTGGGAATGGGTGGCAAAGCAGGGGTTGGGAGGTAAATATACATTTCAATACTAAAAATGCCTATGCTTAGAAATCCCACTTGTATGGAATCTCAGTAAGTTGGATATATCAGGTACAAAATGCTAATAAAATTTATAACATCTCCCCAAATGCTAGACTTCTTTGACATTTCGTGGAGGATGCCAGGACAGGATAGGGTTCACCTTAACAGGGTCATCTGGATGCTAACAGTAAAGGTGTGATATCCCAAATAATCCAACACAGGAACATCAAGGATACATTTCTCAAGGTTAGCATATAATTGTGCTGATGAAGGCATTCAAGGACAGTGTTGACATGTTTATTGTAAATAGATGGATTTTTGAAATCCATCTGAATATCATCTAAATAAGCAACCATAAAAGAGTCCAAA